AAACGAATAATTTCAGTCCTAATGGATGGGTTTTCTTTTGTAGACAGCGGATGCGACTAATAATTATTTCTTTCGATCATCAAAATGGGTAAATCTGGGACCATCCGGAGGCTCACTCGTTTCTGGCCGTGGTAACTTTCGGCCAGGATTTGTTTCAAGTGTTCCTGACAGTCGCTTTTATATATCCGAGCCATTATTTACATCCAGAGTGGGAATTTTCGAATTTTTAAAATTCAAAAAAAAAAAAAACAATCTTTCTCTTTTTTCAATAATCTTTTCGCTCCACTACTGTCTAATTTTGCATTTTTACGAAATTTAAAATATGGTTGTATTGTAAGTAGTATATCATTGCCTGCTGTAATGAGCATAAGCAAAGTAATTTCTGAATGACCAATGTGATTTATTTGAAAAAAAAATACTTCCTACGTTTCACCAAAAAAAAAAATTCAAATGATCTAAAACTGTTTTAGTATTCATTCACTTATTCATTACCAATTTTCCTTATTTAATCACACTTTATAATTGCTATATCTTGCAAGTTTTTTCAGAGATCATGAATGAATTTTGAAAGGCAACAACGATAACAGCGATGCGCATTTAGTAACCAACACATATGCTACTAATAAATCATTGAAAATTGTTGTTTGTATAATATGCTCAAAATAAAAGGATGCTGTTGTTATTCATGATAGCCAAATTAAAATGCTAGCCAAATTAAAATAAATAAAACTTTTTTCAAACATCCATTATAAAATAAATCTCATCATTTTATCTTCAGCAAGTACAAATTTAATTTACTAAGGTTATTGATGATACATACTAAATAAAGCTTAAACAAAGTAATTAAAACTGCCCTATTGATGATACATATTAAATAAAGTCTAAACAAAATAATTAAAACTGCCCATTTTGATAAAAGATCAAACAATCATTGTTGAGTTATGAAAAAGTTGAATTATTTTAATTGTCAAATTTCACTTTCGACAAGCTTCCATTGCAAATTAATTATAAATTGATCGCTCTATCACAAAGGAGATCAGATCATTCTTGGATCATTCTAATTTTTTTCACGAATAATTTATCGCGACGGTGGAAAAACAGTGTAAGGTTATGATGGCCTGATCGATGCTTTGCTAGCTATTCTCGGCCATTTTCTGTTCAAACTTCTCCTAGGCCACATAAATGCAAAATCGAAATACGGCACAATAAGCTAACTTTCTTCCCGCATGAGACAATTTGATTGTATAATAAGCCACCCTGGCGAGCTGCCAATGAGATGTGTCATTAGCTGTTTCGTTATGAAGTGGACTGATGTTTCAGTTTTATTCGAACTGATGACGATTTAGGTGATGGCTTATAGATGATAGCTTATCGACTCACTATTTTACACGTTATTATATTGGCTCAAATTTTGCTTTGGAAATGAAATTAAACGTGATTTATTTTGATAAGCAATAAAATGAAATATGATTTATCAAATGTTTTGTCATTTTTCGATCTAAAACACTTACAGTTTTCTGTTTTAGATTTTCAGGATTGAAATGTTGTTGTGGTGGTGGTGGTGGTGGTGCAAATTACATGTCATATTTTTGATTGGTGTTGTTAATTTATGTGGTAAGTTATTGAAGTTGTTTGATTAGCTATGAAATAATTACGAATTTTTCTGTGGTAATTTATCTGGATAATTTTTCATGAATTTCTATATTTGCATTTTACGAGAATAGATAGCTATAATAGGCCGAAAAAATTTATACAATTTTAAAGAATTGATAATGAACAAAATCATAAATATTGGAAAATTACATATTTAATTAAACGATAATTTTAGTAATCGATTTAGAATAGTAATTTTACTTTTTGATAAATCACGTCGATTTTTTCATTTGCAGAGAGTTCGGGAAAAGTTCGTTTGGCCGATATCACTACGCTAACATTATATCGAGATAAATATACTACAGGACGAAGGTCTGCTCCAATCCCACAAATCCAGTGTGTTGGAGGATCAGCGAAGGGAAAGTTTGAACCAAGAGTATGTATAGGATGTGATGATTTCGTATTACTTTGTTTAATGTTGGATACAGTCATTTGCAGTAGTTTAGACTAAGATGCTGATTTTCAGATTGTTCAGTGTAATTCATATCTATTGATTTTGTTTAGTAGATATTTTATTGGAATGTCTACTCGTGTATTTTGCTTATATTTTCAGGTTGTGCAATGCTACAATAAAGGTTATGATGGCATCGACGTTCAGTGGGAATGCAAAGCAGAAATGAGCGATCAGTATGAATTTGGAGAAGTAAATTTTTCACGATTGACGTACTGATTATCTAAAATGCTAGTTGTAAGTCACCATCAATTTTTCGACAGCGCTTCTTAAATTTTTAAGAATTGATTCTCATATCTGATGATCTTATTCAGAACTAATATAATAAATCTGAAAACTTATTAAAATCTGAGAAAATTTCTTTTTTAGATTCGAATATCTTGTGAAGGATATGATTACGCAGATGATCCATATATTTTGCGAGGTTCTTGTGGTGTAAGCTTTGAATTTGCTTTTTTGAACAAATTTCATATTGCATTGAATTCTTATCGTTCATTGACATGACTTCATGGACATGATCATTAGCATTAACTTTAAAATATAAAATATATCAGAATAGATTAAACTGATGACATAAATGGTGAAAGGCAGTGCAGTATTTGTTGACATATGAGAGTACCGTTACAATGCAGGCAATAATAATATGTAATAAGCTGTTTAGGATTAATTTGTAAGTCTCCATGAATTCTAATAGGCTGAAAATTCATTTTTAATAAATAAAGTAATTTTCAATTTGAATATTTGACTGATATTTTAGTTGAAATACAAGCTGGAATACAGTCACGAAGGGGGGAGCAATTATGGTAAGAGTAAAAAAGAACCAAGTGCGCCATCGTATGAGAAAGATTATGAGTGAGTATTTATGGAAGTATTTTTAGCTTTTCATTTTTTTGAAGTTTTCTGTAGCATTTTTAATAATTTCTGATTTTATCACAATTAAGGTGCAAGCATTTATGTGTTTGGGATTCCTGATTTAAATCCTTCATTAATTATTTCAGATTTGGCTCGTTGACATTTCCAACCATAGTCATTTTGCTTTTATTCTTTCTCGTAGTCTACTATAGTTGTTTGCAACCTACTACTGGTGATGAAAGAACACGTCGCAGTGGTATTCGATTTTAAAATCTTTTCAAATAATTATTTCTTATTTCATTTCTCAAATATATGATTATTCAGCATTCATCATCAGATTTTATAAATAAAATGCTCACAGAGAGTTATATTCTGTATTCTTGATGCAAAAGATAAAGGGATAGTTGTATATAGTTGTGTAAAACTTAACTACATTATTTACTTCTAATTAACCATCGATTCATTGCTTAGTAGTTTCGAATATATTATTCTGTGATCCTTTAAGTTCGTTTTAATTTTGATGAAATATGTATTTAAATATGATAAATAAAAATCTTCGTAAATCTTTTTTAGGTTGGGGTTGGGATCAAGGACCACCACCTCCACCAAGCAATGGGAGACCACCACCACCCGGTTTCAAAACCTTTACACGTCCAACTGGTGCACCTCCTACATACGAAGAGTCTTTTTATAATGCACCCGGTGCACAATCGCAGTTCAATGGACCCGGCTTCTTTTCTGGTCTTGGATTAGGCGGCTTAGCTGGTTACTTATATGGCAGGAGTCAAAACAGGTTTGTGCATTCTTCAGAAAAAAGTGAGGCGTGCTTGATAGTTTGAAATCCATAAGCAATAATTTACTGGACATCCTTTTACTAATTGTAGTGGTCACTATTATTTAATTTTAGTGAAGACAGTTTCTTTCGAGGTAGGAGATCGTATGAACAAGATGGTTCCTGGAATCCTTTGCATAACAGATATAGGGAAGATTCACCAAGACCTTCAACAAGTCGAACAACATCAGGTAGATTCTTCGATTCATTGAATGTTTGATAAATTTCATTTTTTTTGTAAGATATTACATATGTTTGCTGGCATTTGCTTACAAATTGCAAAACATTTGTTCACTTCGAACATAAAGCTTTGTTTTATTCCTCAAAAATTATAATACTCACTTTAATATATCGAAGTTTTTTCTGTACAGTATTAATCAGTGAGACAACTTAAAGTTTCAGTGTTATTATGCAACCTTTATCATCTCCAAGCAAAATTTAGTTCTGCTGTCCTTGATTTTTTTCAGTGTTATTTAAACTTCCGTTTTTCAGGTTTTGGTGGTACGGAAAGAAGGTAGCGCTAATCCATTCAGTTTTTTTATTTTTGTTTTTCTTTGAATTAACTTCAACGAACTGGGAGGAGTGTATGTCATGTTTTATATATTAAATTGTTACAAAGCATGAATTTTTATTGAATTACATTAATTTCCTTGTTTTCATTTTCTTTGATTTACAAGAAAGAAGTTTCCTTTTTCTTGATGATGCAGTGTTGGTTTGTCTTATTTTATTTGTTAGTTCTCTCCATTTCTATAAGGAATGAAATTAGCTTTTGGCTGATTGTTTATTACTACATTTATTATGAGAAGAATACCTCTTATTTATTTTCTCTTCATGTTTCTATTAGGAATTTTTATTGAACATTTATAGTGTTGAATCAAAAAAATTAGCACAAAAGGTACTTCTCACTGTTAGATTCAATTGTTCGAAAATTATAAAAATGCTAAAAACGCTATTCTCGCATCTCGTTTTATCAGACAGTTGGCCCAAACTGACAAGACCAACCAAACTGTCGGTCTTGGCTATCGGGCTGCAGGAAAACGATATCGATGAAGTATTTTGTTTGCTTATTCTTGCTTTTATCAATTTTTGTTTCTATTTGTCAAATTCTATTCTTCCGATTTTAATTTACAACAAGTTGAA